CTCCTCCTGCCTGCTCCTCCTCCTCCTCCTGCTCCTCCTCCTCCTCCTCCTCCTCCTCCTCCTCCTCCTCCTCTCCTCCTCCTGCTCCTCCTCCTCCTCCTCCTCCTCCTCCTCCTCCTCCTCCTCCTCCTCCTGCTCCTCCTCCCGCAACGTCCGCAGCGGTGCTGGGCCTGCGAGAGCCACAGCATGCCTGTAGGTGCGCACCTGTCAGCACCACGGCATGCCCGCGAGCACCGGCGGATGCCGTGGGGAAACCGGTATCCTCCACGCGCGAGCTCTGCACCGCTGTGGGAGGGGGGGAAGGGGCTCTAGGGGAACGAAGAACGACGTAAACATAAAAACTCGGAGGTCCGCGAAGATTTCTCGGATCCGCGCTGGACCGACCCCCTCCCTGGCGCGCGGAGCGCGACAGGGGCGGCGGCGGCGCCGGAGGCGCCGCCAGGGAGCCCCAGTGCCGATCCGAGAAATCCGCGCGGACCTCCGAATTCTAATGTTTATGAAATGTTTCGCTCCCCTGGAGAGAAGCACGACCCCCCCGTAACGGACCCTACGGGCTCACTGAGCACAAACAAAAACACACCACCGCTGCGCAAGATCGGGCCAAGAAGGCCGAGGAGGCCCCCAAGAGAGCCCCAAGAGGCCTTCATGACGGCTTCAGAGAGGGAGCACGGACTGACATTTCGAGCCCTCCGCCCCAAGACGACTTCCGAGGCCGCCAGTAGGGCCCCAAAGAAACCCCCCAGAAGCTCCAAGAGGTCCCCAAGAGGCGAGGCCCCCGAGAGGCCCGAAAGACACCCAAAGCCGCCTCGAAAAGGTTTCGTTTCCAACAGGCCTCCGAAGAGATAGCACCTAAGAGGCATATGACCTACAACCAAGACACGGTTGCGGGATGGACCGAAGGCAACTAAACCTGCTTGGCACGGGGACGAACATCGCTCGTACTCTGCGAGGGCGCAAAATCGCTTGCTCAGTGTCTTGGAGCCCTCTTGGTGTTCAGACTTCGGTTTGCCATACAAAAGACTACCAACCAACCTTGCGAAAATCAATGAAGATGGCATCCCCAGGCCTTCTTGGGGGTCCTTTTAGGGTTCCTTCGGGCCGTCTTGGGGCCCTCTTGGGTCGTCCTGGGGCCCTCTTGGGCTCTTACGGTGGCTTCGGCCGTCTTGGGACCCTCTTGGGGCCCTCTACCTTGTACGGCGTTTCGTGGCCCCATGGGGGGCCCCACCGAATGCCCCAATTGCTGCGACCACACGCATCCCGCGCCACTCGATACGGCGCTTGATGGCCCCATGTGGGAGCTCCACCGAAGGCCCCAGCGGCTGTGACCACACGCGTCCCGCGCCACCCAGCACGGCGCGTGGCCTCATTGGGAGCTCCACCGAAGGCCGCACTGGCTGTGATCACATGCGTCTCCCCCCGCCCATTTCGGCACACCTCTCACGTGCTTCGTGGCCCCATAGGGGACCCCACCGAAGGCCCCAGTGGCGACGTTCGCATGCGCTCCCCCCGCACATTTCGGCATGCCTCTCTCGCGTCTCTAGGCCCCATGTGTAGCTCAACTGAAGGCCCCAACGGCGACGTTCGCATGGCGGCCCCGCTCCATTCTAGCACGCCCTTCACAATTTTCGTGGCCCCCTACGGACCGTCACCGAAGGCCACAATAACAGCGCCCGCATGCGTCCCGGTCCAGTTCGGCACGGTCCCGTTCGGCACGCCCTTTACGCGCCTCGTGACCCCATAAGTAGCTCCACCGAAGGCGATACCCACAACGGCGATACTCACAACTGCACATGGTTGGGCCCTTCGCCAGGAATTGTTGTTCTTTCGCTCTGGCAGGTCACGCTTGTTTCCCAGGCCCCACCCACCCCCTCGCAACGGTAACAATCATACTTAGGGGAGGGGGGGCCCTGCACACCCCTCAATCGGCGCGTTGAGGGGCGCGCCCCCCGCATGTATGGCGCCGCGCTCGCAGGCACGGCGCGGCGCTGAAAAACATGCTTTGGTGCTCGCAAACGTGCTGAACCCTTCGCAGGCTCCCCGCTGTTGCGGCGCCAATCTTACAGGCATGGCGCGGTGCTGAAAAGGTATGTCTCGGTGCTCACATGCGTGCTGCGGCGTTTGCAACCTATTCCTGCGCGCGTAGGTCAGGCGGGCGTGGGGATGATATCATGACGATAGAACTGAAACATCGGCGGTTTGGCCTTCGTGGTCTCTCCGTCGCCACGGCTGAGCGCGGGTCGAAAAACTGGGCGGTCTGGACCTCCGCAGGAGTCCAGGGACCGATGTCGAATGAAGTTCGGCCGGGCTGGGGGGCCGCCGCTGTCTCTGTGGGATCGTCGCCGCCGCCGCCGCCACCCTTCGCCGGTCGCCGCCGCGGCCGCCGCGGCCGCCGCAGTCGTTCTCGCCGGTCGCCGTCGCACGTCCTCTTGGTCGTCGTCGTCCGTCCTCTTGGTCGTCGTCTTCGATATCGTCGCGGTCGTTGTCGCCGCCACGAACCGATAAGGAGGTTAATGAAAACCCGCGAGCATACGATGGCGATCACTCAGCGCAGCCCGCCCCGACGCGCCCCACCCCGCGCAAGCGTTACCTTTACCCGGAGCCCCAAGGACCCCCCCCCTCCCCCGGTAAACGACCACTATCTGTGCGCACCCCCGCTGCCAGCTTCGCGCGCCAGCGCTGCGGACTCAAGCGAAGACCCCGCACCTCAGGACAGTGGGGAATGAGTGAAGCAAGAAGTTGTGCATAAGAATTACTGGAATAAAACAATGTATCAAACTTCTTGCTGCTTCATTGAAGACAAAACGAAT